AGATTTTAACCAGATAGCTCTCCTGGCCGAATTGAGAAGAGCTGCTTATCTAGCCGATGCTCGAACAGATTCAGCCGCAGCATCAGCCAGATATGCTCCTTCCATTCACCTAAAACTAAATCTTTCAGTGTTTGATGGAATGGAAAAACCTTCTGAATCCTGCAACCCCCTGTAAAGCCTGTCTTGCACAGAAAAAGCTTTAGGAGGTTCAGGAATCTGCTCAGTAGTATAAATAGCCTGTAACAGATCTTCCATGTCCTCTAGAGCAAAAAGGTGACGTGGCGGTTGAATCTCCACATTCCCTTCTACAGTCTCTTCCTTTTCTAGGGAACTGTCAGTATCTAAACCAGAATGCTCCTCTTTCTCTTCTACCCGAGTAAAAGCAGAATTAGAAAGTGAACAAGGCAGAGCAGAACTTCCAGATGGCCCTGCAGAGGCAATCGAGGAGGTAGTGATTGGCAACAGTTCCGAAAAAACATTCTTGAAAGATTGCACAGCAGTCACCATTTCATTACGCATACTGGCCATAAAGTCCTGCATAAGTGATGAAGATTCACTCAACATAACCTTATGTATACACTGTTCACAAATGGCCTTGGAGTAATGCAGAGGCAACTTAACATTGCAACTCCCACACCGCTTCTTCAATGCTTTAGAAGATGAGGCAGAAAGTGGAACTGCTAATTGGGCTGCAGACTTGTCCCCCAGAAGTGCATCCTGAAGAGAGAGGCACAAAACACTATCAATAAGAAATACAGCTACTGGGAGCAATAAGGGCACCCCCCACCTAGACTACACCCAGTCCCTCCAGAAGCATCACTCACCGCTACCTTGGACTTGGGTGCAGACATCGCCGGCTTGGCTTCTTCCTCCATTTCAGCCTCGGCGGCGTGCAGCAACTCCCCTCTCTGTACAGCCGGCGTTTTCGTGGCGAAGGGCGGAAGTGACGAAATGCCGCAAACGGAAGTGACACTTCGTAACTCCAAACGAGGCTTGGAACGCGGAAGTCCCGCCTCCTTGCCCTCCACCACGAGGCAAGCTCCACAGAGCACCAGACAGGGCAAATAGCCCGGGGGAAAGATAGGCTGAGTGTCTACCCTTAGGTTTGGGAGAGACCCAGCTACCTCTTCTATGGAAACAACCTGTGTACCACAAGAAGGTAAGGCTCAGGAATCCAGTACCCTAGCAGAGCCCCACAGAGGGTGACTGCTGACCTCAAGGCCATCCAGTCGGGACAAAGAAACAAAACATTGCGCTGACCCAGACGGTAAGAAACACAATCGGAAACTGAGGGACTAGGGGGGTGGGAGGGGTTTTTAACCTTGTCCGATTGTGTTTCCTGTAGACTGAAGATCCAATCATCTCTCAGGTTGCTGTCCTGGAAGATGATTGGAGAAATGTGTGATGAATAAAAACAAAAAAAGGAAGGAGAACGTTAAAGCAGGACTCCAGGAAATGTTTTTTGTTTAATTAACCCTTGCAGTGAGGCTACCCACGCACTGCAGGGGTTAACTGCTCGTTTGTGTCTAGTTGCTAAAATAACAAAGGTAAATTAACACAAAGCTCCCAGCCAGCCAGCCGCCTGCAGCCAGTCCCCTCCTCCTCCACAGCAGATTGGAATGTTGCTCAGCATCCTCACGTCTATACACAGTGCATAGAATGTGATGATTTACTGGTTCCAGGGATCAGTCTATGAAGATGAGTATTTGTTTTTTTTAACCTAGACGCAAAGGAGTAGTTAACACTTGCAAGTACAGGGGTAGGGGTAAATAAAAATTCCTGGGAATCTGCTTTAAAGTGTATCTAAAGACAAAAGTTTACCATGTGTGATCTGAACAGATATAGAGGGGAAGTGTTTCTATTGTGTTTACAGGAGAGAAAGTGAAAGGAAATTTGTTCAATGGAACGCAGACAACAAAAAACAAAGCTGACTTTTTTTTTTCTTTTTCCACTCGTCACTACACTACCCACAGTTAGACAAAGATTCCGCTTTAGTTATAATTTAAAGGAGAAGAACTATGAGGCGAGTGATTTACACTCATAACAATGAAACTGTCACAGGTCAGCTCTACAGATCGGGAAGTGAGTGAACGCATACCGTCGATCGCCCACTTCTCGATCATCTCCCTGTAGAGAGCGATGACTGTCAGTCATGGCTCCCTGCAGTGATTCCTCTGCTATATACTGAGTTTTGGGTGACGGGAGGACGTGGCCCTTAAGAGAATATGGGATAAAAAGGTTACCCCAGTTGTAGCCATTGAGATGCTTGCTTTAATTTTCTAGTCTAGAACGAGTGGCGGACTAACTGGCTCCTAAATCGAAAGAATAACACTCATCCAATAGTCAAATACATTTTGCCATTTCAGAGTAACACATGAGAAAGAAAAAAAAAAAAAATCAACAGGAGCAAATGGGGGGAATTTATCAAAATTGGATCAGACAACATGTGGAGCAGTTGCCCATGGCAACCAATCAGCTTCTATCTTTCATTTTTAAATCTCTACTGAATAAAGTGAAGAAAGAAGCTGATGGGTTGCCCTGGGCAACTGCTCCAGATTCCGCCCTTTCCCACTGTGTTTAATCATTACCATTTTAAGTCCCCCAAAAAACAGGCATCAGGAAGAAACATCACACAGTTATGCCCTATTAAGTTATCACCTACATGGGTTTTTATTTCCTTAGCCACGCTAGAAAATTAAGCAGTGGGCTTCATTTAGTTCAGCCACTTTCCGCATTTTAAAGTAATGTGTATGAAAATATTAAAGCTGAAGTCCAGGCTAAGCAAATATTGTCTAAACAAGGCATGTGTATTCTCACTGAAAGAAGTTAATCCCACACTGCAAGGGTTAAGTGCTCCTTTTTGTCTCGGTTCAAAAATAAAGTTGTACTCACAGAAGCGCCAAGCCGGCCAGCTGCCACAGTGCTGCCTCCAGCCTCTGTCCTCCTAAGCTGCCAGCAATTTTCTGAGCATCCTCACATCTATGTACAGTGTATAGAACGTGATGATTCATGGGACCTTAGATCACTGCAGAGGAGGGAGAGAGAGTCTGGAAGGGCCGGTATAAGAACAAGCCGGCTCCGCAGCTCTGGTAAGTATAACTCTTTATTTATTTTTTAGCCTAGACAAAAACAAACAAACAAGCAGTTAACCCTTGCAATGTGGGAGTTAAAGTCTTCTGTAGTCCTTTAACCGACTCCCGGCCGGCCGTTTTTGTTCCACGGCCGGCCAGGAGGCGGTTAAATAACTCCATAAAACGTCTTTTTTTACTGGATGTAACAGGTCGTGTAAATACGCTGTGTTATCCCCGCCCATTTGCGAGCGATCACGACCAAATTTTTTTTTTTTTAAAAGGCAGCGATGCCAGTTTACATACAAGCGATCCACCAGCTATAGAGCCGGTGGATCGCTTGTATGGGGTGCTCATCGGAGCGCCCCCCTCCCACTGGGCCCGGGCTCTATAGCTGGTGCGAGCCCGGGACCAGCATGGTGGCTCTCTGACAGGGGATCAGAGGATGATCAGTACACGATCTCCCTCCGGTCCCATCTTCGGTGTCAGAATGCAGAAGTGATGCATATTACATCACTTCCGCATTCTTGGGTCACTCTCCAGCTTCAGAAGCTGGAGAGAAGCTGATGAAGCAGAATTAAAAAAAATAAATAAATAAATCACACATGAAAAAGAATTTAAAAAAAAACAACTTTTTTTTAAGTCCCCACCCATACATAGACGCGTGCAAACATGTGCCGGGTGCGCATACGTGCGAAAACGACAATTGCACCCATTACACCGCAGTGAGAGCAATAATTCTAGGGCAATCAATCACTGATAACACTAAACTGATCAGCGGTAAAATCTTTTAAGGCGTCGCCTATGGCAAATTTTGGCTATGCTATTTTTTGTTCGATTTCGCGGGCGCGCGCAATTTTAACGTTTGACATGTTTGGTGTCTATTTACCCGACGTGACCCGGCCTTTTATATTTTACCAAAAAAGTTGGGTCAAAATAATTGTTTGTTTTCTAAAATAATAAAGGGAAAACCATTTTTTTTTTTAATATTCAGTACTTTTTTTGTTATATAAAAAAAACAAAAAAAAACCCCAGTGGTGATTAAATACCACCAAAAGAAAGCTCTATCTGTCCCCAAAAAAACGGTATAAAATTTATTTCAGTACAGCGCTGCATGACGGAATAAACGTCCTTTGTTACTACTGAGGAATACTGTATATATAAATGAAAGTTTTTCTTCCCAGAGCTCAGCTTTAGGAAGGATCAGAAGGGTTAGATTGTGTGTCAGGTTGTAACTGCTGTCTATGCTTCCGTTGGGAGATTTTTCATCCTGTCTCAGTGACGAGACTTCTCAAGCCAGAGTAAACGGTATACCAAACACAAAGGATTCTTCCTTCAGATGTCATCATACCCAGACATCGATTGTTCAAGGAGCTTGTTTGTTAGAGTTACTTAGAACACTGACCATTAAGGGTCATTTACTAAAACATTTAGAAATACCGAAATATAAATGTTTCCCATTCTGTCTACAAGGGTTTATTGGACAACCTGGACTTCGGGGTGTCAAACATGCTGTGATATTGTCAAATAATACTAAATGTTTAATATTTCAGTTTTTGGACCATCACAAAAGATCAACAGAAGGTCTTTGCACAGGAAGATGGGCTAGAGCAGGGGTGGCAAACTCCGGCCCTCCAGCTGTTGTGGAACTACAAGTCCCTTGAGGCTGTTTCACCACAGCTGGAGGGCCCGAGCTTGCCACCCCTGGGCTAGAGAGTCAAAGAAAACTTACATTGCTACACTGAGAGCAAATATGTAAAAAAAATAAAAAATCCCCCCAGCTGTCCTAGACACCTTCCAGCAACCTCTCGGGGAGGCATATGAGACCTGGGCAGTGGCAAGGACCCATTCACACTTCTATGGCCTGTTGCAGCACCACAATGTGTACTGCGCTAAGGCAGACCATTCATCATGACAAAGAAAGTATCATACCTGAAGGTAACCGGTGAGTCAAGCTGCCTCTTGCTCTATGAAATGCTTGTGTCAAGCACATGCCTTGCGGGGGGGAAAAAAAATAATGTATTAAACATGTTATACAGAGAGTCAAAATAAATAATAAATAAACATGAAGAAATAAGCAGGTAAGTAAAGGGGTTTAAACTTTGAGAATAATCTGCCAGAATTCTATATTCTGGGACATAACCTCAGCAGTAATTAATAGGTACTGGAACCACAATTATAGCATCTGGACCTTGTCCCTTGGTGTAACCAGATTATTCCATTATGTTTACTCTGCAATGGAAAAATTACATCTGGAACTAGACTGGTTGCTACGGGCAACTAAGGCTTTAAACTGGAGACTTGGCTCCTACAGATATTCAAACATTCTCCAAATCAAGCTTGAAATGGACATATCAGACAAACATTGCCTGATGTTTGCAAGTGCCATAAATCACCCATCAGCATGAGTTCTTTGATGGCCAATGTAGGATAATGGAAACAACAAAAGCAGAAAATGGCGAAGGGTTATAAACAATTTAATTCCAAGGGCTATAGAATGCCAGTTTTAGGCCCCGTTCACATTGAGCGATTTATCGCGCGATTTGTGCAGCGATATCGCTCATATTCCCACGCGATATCGCTCTATGTAGCTTCACCAATACATTTCAATGTAGCTGTTCACATCTCGTCGCTCAATATCGCTCAATATCGCTTGTAGCTCGTCGCTGTAGCTTGTGGCTCCTACATGACCCTTTTTTCTGCGGATTTGCCGCGATTTGCTGCCATAGACTTTAATGGTGTCGCGCGATATCGCACATACAGTCAGCCCATAGACTAGAAAGAACTGAAATATTAGACTCGGCCAAACATACACTTTCATTAACTTAGTATGATCAGTATTAGGGTGCAATCAACAAACATACATATAAAGTAACCTGAAGTGCCTGTCAGCCAAAACATTGCCTAAACCGGCCGGCAGGGCCAGTTAAACTGTAGCTTGGCAAGGGAGGTAATTCCTGATTAAGGGTGCCCACACACCGTGCGAATTTCGGACAGTTTAAAATTTGCACAGTGTGTGGTGCTGCCTGCACCCTTTCGGTCAGCATCCCTTGATCAGCTGATCGAAGGAGCCGGCCAGAAAATCTTTCTCACGATCCGTACCAACGAACCGCCGGCTCTGTTCGAGTATTCCGACAGCTGAACGAGCAAAATAGAGCAGTGTTTGGCCAGCCTAACAGTGGAAAGCCAATATACGAAGCACACACTGTCATTTTAAGCATGTGTTCTAATGAGGTGCTGGCTTCACCTCTGTCCAAAATGTAAGCCGCAGCGTACCATAAAAAACAAAAGGCTGTGTGCCCAAATACTTGTATTAATAGCTCTGTTCAAACAACAAGACTGCTTTAAAGAAATCACATAAAACTATTCTTTCAGCTGGACTCTAAAAGGGATCTTTCTGGAATACACTTAAACCGAGAGTGGATATGTTTTTCAGCTGCACAGCATTTAGTTAGCCTACAAACATACATCACGGCTTGAAGAATGGGTCTTTGCATAGTTATTTGCAATCTCTGCTTCACGGAATCACTGAAAGTAAACACTAGAACTAATGACAGCAAAGCTCAGCAACACACGTGGCTTGTTCCAGGATATGGGGGGGTTTGTCAATATTTGAACCCCTGACCATCATAAAAGCCTGAGCAGTCTGCCCACATCAGTTACTGTCCTTGTCTTTATTCTCAGGAATATGTACATTCTAGTTTGCTCTCTGTAAATGAGAAGTTGGCGAGGTCAACCTGTTAGGCAGATGGCCTGCCAAGTATGTTCCATTAACCACTGCGTACAAAAAACAAACTATCCAATACATTGAACTTTATGCAAGGCAAGGTATTTAGAAAAAGCAAGATCTCTTAGGGGTCATAGCTTTGGGGTAAGGAAGAATTCTGTTAAGAAAGCCACTTTAATCTTGAAGGCAAAGTCACTTCATTAAGTGCGGACTCTGAAAATGGGAGTAGTCTAAAGATCACATGAATTAGATGGTCTCTTTATTTCGGGGAAATACTTTGACATGTCACCCAGAGCACTGCATATTCTTGTAACACTGCTCAGTTACTTATTATTGGACTTAGTCTAATTACTAAGCTGTCATATTAATATATGAAACACGAATTCGGATTTTCTTTATACATTGTACTCTGCACAAGGTTAGAGTAAGCATCTGTATGAAATCAGTTTTCTGTCAGCAGATATTTCCATCAATACACAAGCTAAATATATAAGGGGGTATCAAAAAGTAATGCCTGTTGAGATATGGAGAAGTGAATACTCATACAGTTAAGCTGCCATACACTCATCTATTTTATTGTTTAAACTGCAGGCTGAACAAATAAAAATAGACCCGATTCCTCCATCAACACTAACAGCGTGTCGATCGAGGAATCCTGCTGTTTACATTGTATTCTGACAGGTGCCGCCAGCCCGTCAAAATACTCGAACAGAGCGGGCACCTCACTGGCTGCCAGCTCTGATCGCATGATGATTTTCAGACAGAGAGAAGCTGATCGAAAGGTTGCCGACACCGGCACACGCTGTGCAAATTTCGTCTGGTTCCTCAAAAAAATGGCTGAACTTCAAACAGTGTATGGGCACCTTGAGCCTACAAATTCATCTACTCAGAATTACACATAGACCTGATCCCGTTCAATGCATTTGCGCCTTCGTTTTACACAATGATTTATATATTGTCTTACTGCACTCCTTACCGGTATACTTCAACCCGCTGAAGCCAGGTGGGTGCTAGAAGTAACCATGGATGGCACCATGAAAAGACTTCAAAGTAGGGATGTCCCGATACCATTTTTTCAGGACCAAATACAAGTACTTCTTCCCCGCATGTACTTGCCGATACCAATTACCGATACTTTTTTTTAAAGGGGCAGGTGACTTTAAATGATCCATAATGCAACTACATGTTACGTACTATGGATCATGATTTAACCTATTCATGTTAGCAGGGGAGAATTGTAACTCTATTGCTGGTGTGTAGTGGAGGTGTGTGCTGTATCTATGTACTACATATACAGTACACACTTCCAGTACACTGTAGCAATAGATTTACAGCCAGCTCTGTCCCAGCTTAACTCACTCACAGTTTCACTCCGATCCCTGTGCCTCATGAGGTGCCTCTTGTAGTCTCGGATCGCGTCTCGGTGCTCAGCTTGTTGGAGGCGCTCTCAATTCTGCCCTGCTAACATGAATGGGTTAAATCATAATCCATAGTACATATACAGCACACATGTCCCGTACACTGCAGTAATAAAGTTACAATTATCCCCTGCTAACATGAATAGGTTAAATCATGATCCATAGTACATAATAGTACGTAACATGTAGTTGTATTACGGATCATTTCACCCATTCATGTTAGCGGTGCAGAATTGTAAATCTATTGCTGCAGTGCATTCTATATGTACTGTACATGTACTACATATAGAATGCACTGCAGCAGTAGATCACACAAAAAACTAAGCTGTTGCCTCGATCACGGTGCCTCACGATTTTTCTCACAAGTGAGGACGTCGTTGGCACTGAGCTGGAGAGGAGTCGCGTTAATGCTGCTCCGGTGGGCGGCACTCCAAGTGGGGTCCTGCCTGGAGCGTCGCCCACCGGAGCAGCAGTGACGCGACGCTCGGCGCGACGTGGTAAGGAATACAAAAAGTGACAGCCTCTCCAGCCCCGCCGCCCGTACATGCTGCGGGTGGCAGAAAGGTGGGGAAGGAGCGGCACTATCTCGGGGTGGGGGGGGACCGCTTCTTCCTCTCTGCCCCCCTCCCCCAACAGGCGGAATGCCAGGGCCCGGTCGCAATCGCGACCACTGCGTCCCTGGTATTACCGCCGGCGCTGGAATTAGTAGTCCTGTATAGCTGGTGGTATTCTGCGTTCCTGTATAATTATTATACAGTTATGCAGAATACCACCAGCTATACATTTTACATAAAGTCAGCATACCACCCCCCACGGTCTCCCATTCCCCATCATTAGGACCCCAGCTGGAGCTCCGCCCACAGCAGTGACGCAACGCTCCTACGCACAGACCTGCCCACCACGGAAGGTAAAGTAAAAAAAAAAACATAGCGCAAGCTTCGGCGCTTTGTATCGGGGCATTTTGACAAGTACTTGTCAAAATGCCCTGTATCGGGCCCGATTCCGATGCTAGCATCGGTATCGGGACATCCCTACTTCAAAGTAAAACAAAAATGTCACCAGCACTCCAAGATAGGTGAAATCAGTCCATTGATGTCTCAGCATGTCATCAGTGCAAGTACTTTTGGGGACTCGCAGGCCATCCCTTCATCAGGTTTAGAATGACAACCATCTTGGAGTGCTGGTAACATTTTTGTTTTACACAAGCCTCCAATCCAGTTTGGAAAAATTTAGCATTTTGGCAGATGGCATTTTGACGGGCTAGTGTGAACAGTAATCTCATCTCATCAGCCAACACCCCCCACCCAGTCTACTTCTTCCACAAATAGCCACCGCCCCTTGTCCATTAACACTTCCTCCCTCCCACCCCAATACCTGTTACTGAACAGACAACCAATGATCCCAATTGCAATGTTTTACTCCAATGCCAAAATATAATAAATGTACACTTTTTTTATGAACATGTCTACATTTATTATTTTTTATTCTAAATATGGAATTTACCTTTAAAGCTTTAATTGCTATCACTAGGTGATATTTATCACTGTTTGTGCTGTAAATTATTCATTAATCATTAACATAATGCATGACCACTGCATAACAATACAATCCTCTAGAGACAGATATAGTTAATGAGTCAGTTCCTCCCTCTTTGTGTATATTTAGCTGCTTCAAACGATAGGATATATCTGTCTACCTGGCAACTCTGCTGTGCTATACTCAAGCGACTTGGAAGAATAATTACCCAGACAGAACCTCTTCAGATGGGGAACGACCAAATTCACCATCATTTATAAAAAGCTTAATAAAGAACTGGGGGCTGACAAAAGGAACTTGTGTTTAACCTTCCA